CTGGTTAGACAGAGAATGTTGCCAAAATATGATATTTCATTTATTTATCAAAAAAACAAACTTTAAATTACGATATAAGCCAGTGTTTCTTAACCTTGGCGACTTTAAATACTGTGGACTTCAATTCCCAGAATTCCCCAATCAGCTGGCGGGGGGATTCTGGGAGTTGAAGTCCACAGGACTTAAAGTTGCCAAGGTTGAGAAATACTGATATAAGTGATCATATTGTGTTAAATTTAAATTTACCGACAAAGCAGAAGCAGTATGCTCCATCCCATATTTGGGTAGACCAGGTTGCCCTGATAGACCAGTGTTAAGTGATCATATAGTATTGAACATGTTTATATTAAAAAACTGCTCCCATAATTCTTCATGACATTGTTTACCATTTTGAGACATTTAAAAATGCAATTCAGAATCATTCAGCTTAGTTCTTCCTATTGCCTTTGCTTTAATCACTTCTCATTCAGGTGTCTCTGATTAAATCACATTTCAACATATGAATAGAAACATTTTTCTGTTTCTTTTCTTCCACATGCACTGTTTTTCTGTTCAACTTTGAACATTTATTGCCATTTCTGCAATATATTGGGTGCTTTACTTTGAACTTTTTACATTTTTCATATCAACCGGACTGCTGTTGTTATTTGTTATTTCACATTTTCAGCAGTGTGCTAACAAAGTTTGTATTATGCATTGTAATAAAAATTAAATTATTAAATGCCAGCGTCTGTTCATTCTGAATTCACAGGGTAATCCTAAACATGTTTTCTAAAAACTCTCAGCCCTAATGTGCTTTTGTTTGATTTGGTTTGGCTTAGCATATTATATGAAGCCAGACATATAACGTGTTTTATTCAATAAACTACTGTATGGTTAAATCATATCTTAGGCAAAGTACAAATCCAATCTATGAGACTATGTATTTAAGGTAACAATCAAAGTGTATAATTCCATACTTCATTCTTTCCAAGTTTTATATCAGTGGCTTTTAAATGTGAGTTCCAGAAGATTTTGTATATTTCACCAATTAAAAGATTTACAAATGAAGATAACCTTTTTGAAAAATTTACCTCTTCTGTGTAAATTAAAGACACCATCCATTCACTTGAAGTAAGAACCAGGTACTCAGTTCCTCATCTGAAGTACTGTTGTACCTTCAAATGATGAGTGTGATGATATGCAATGTGTTGACAACTCTCAGCAGATATTTAAAATGTTATGACTAATCAATTGTAGAGTAATCCCAGAAAAAAGAAAATCAAGCTAAATTTTCTAAAGTCTAAAGGCAATTCTGCCTTCTACAGGAGACCTGAACATTGCATGTGACAGAAGGCGGGGGGGCTTGAGAAGATATCTGCAGACCACACACATCCTGGACATAAACTGCTTCAATTGCTTGCCTAGGGATGGTACTATATGCCATGCAGGTCAAAACAACTAGATACAGGGACAGGTTTTTTTCCCTGGACCACCACTCCACTGAAGACCTAATTCTCATGTGTTGTCTAATGTGTATTTGTGTGTATATGTAAATGTGTATTTACACATGTAGTATGGCTATAGTATTATGTATTTATTATATTTCTTATTCCGCCCTCTTATTGGTCTCATGATTATGATTATCAGCATTCTGTTGCTTTGCATGTACACGAAGAGCCTCCTACTGAGGCTCGACTTTCGGAGACCAATTCCCCGCTGTAGGGAGGAGGAACCGATTAGGTGGTTCCACCCCAGGC